ATCACTAGGCAGGAGAAAGGGGCTGGCTGGTGGCATGCCACATCCCCCATCCAGGACTGCCCAGTCCCATCTTCCCACCCTGCAGGTACACCATATTGAGGCTGAGGGAGCTGCTGCTTCTCCCCATTCATATGGGAATATCTCTGGCTCTTCACCATTGTCAGGAAGAGAGGGGAAAATACACAGTTTCTTGCATTCCTCACTCTGGCTGAGAAGTGCAGGGGGCAGATGAACCTGTCCCTGCTGCAGCTGGGGGGCATGCGTCCCTCCCCTGGCAGTGCCAACTTGAGCTGCAGCAGACATGAAAAGGTGCTTTTCACCTGACTCTGAGCTGCTGAAGTAATGAAGAGCTGGGGTAGTCCTCTCTCCCTGGGGCAGCCTGCATATTGAACTCCTCATCCCCAGCTCTCTCCCCTCCCTCCCCCGAGCAATTATTTGTACAAAGCACATACATTTTCACATTAACTTTCCAAAAGACAAAAATGAATGGAGTTAAGGACTCAAGCAAAGCCAGGTAAATCTTCTAGTTTTATATAAATAAAGCAAACAACAATAACAAGTTTTTGAACAGGGAAATGGTCTTGCATCCCTTTCCTCCAAGAGTAATCTTAACTTATTTTCCTTCCTCCAGTCTTTCTGTCCAGCAATGAAGAGTGAGCAAGTGTTAGTGTAAACAAATTACCCTATGCAACCTTAGCTGTGGTCTTGCAACTGCTCCATGATTATAAATCAATAAATTATCTAGTGACAGATTAGATATAAGCCAACTAGACAGTTGATTTTAGACAGAATTATAGGGGGGAAAAAAATCACTTGAAAATAATGCTAGTGCTTCTCTTCATATACACCCCTCCATTATAACTACCCAGGAAAGGGAAACTAAGAAATCAATACAGGTTAGACCTCTGTGGTCCAGTGCCCTCAGGACCTGAGCTGTCCCAGACCAGGGAATTTGCCAGACTAGGGGATGTCAGTGCTTCCCTGCTGGCGGACCTCAGGGTTCTGTCCTTGGAGCTCCATCCTTGAGGCTCCCTACCCTATTGCTGGCATCGCTAACGCTGGCCTGGTAAGGTTCCCCACCCTCTTGCCTCAGGATCTCCTGGGGTTCCCCACAGGAACTGCTTGGCTGCTGCTGGCTCTGCTGCAGCAAGGTATTCCCTGGCAAGCTCCCCACCCCACTGCTAGGACCACCATGCTGCTGCTGGGGATTCTGTGGATTCCCTGGCTAGCGATGCCCACCTCTGCCAGTCCTGCTTCCACCGGGGGATCCCCAACAGCCCCACTGCAGCTGGGGAGTTCTCTGGCCTCCACCTGGCCCCGCTAACACTAGGACTTCCCGGCCACCACCTGGCCCCATTGATGACAGGGGTTGCCTGGACAGGGCAGGGGCTTCCCAGATGTCACCTAGCCCAGTTGGGGCTCCCCAGCCCCTGGATTGTCTCAGCTGGCTCCGGGGCTCTTTGGTCGAGCAACATCCATGCCTCTGCCAGACCACGGATGTTGATGGGGCAGAGAATCCCAGATTTGGGCAGTTCAACCTGTAGAAGGACAAGCTATTTCTGTGCTCCCAGGCATTGTCAGACCTATGCTATGGTGTCATGTTCTTGCTTTGGTGTCTGTTTCAAAAGCCAATTCTTATTGCCCATAAAATAACAAACCTAGGGGCAAATGAAGATATAGGCTCCAGGAATATTTCATAAGAAAAGGATAGAAGGCTTGAGCCCGGTCACACTCCATCAGTGATGCAGTTGACTATGGTGTAGATGCAGCTTCCTATTAGGGATGTAAATACCCATTTTAGAAGTTAACTTGTTAGACCAGTGGTTCCCAAACTTTTCGGCATCATGCCCCCTTTTTGATTTTTGCGAAATCCTCACGCCCCCCGTCCCAAAAAAATAGCAGCAAAACTTGGGGTGGGATTGACGGGGGGGTGTAAGGCTGGGTCACCGTGCGCCCCTCAGTTTGGGAACCCATGGGTTAGACAATACTTTTAACCATGGGGGGGGGGAACTAGGTCCCTTGGGCAGGGTCCGTTGGGCAGGGGTGCGGCTCTGCTCTGGCCGGCCAGCCCCGCTGTGCCTTGAGCAGGAGGGGGCCTGCTCTAGCCAGCCAGTCCCACCACAGGCAGGGGTGGGTTTTACTCACACAAATTTCTTTATCCCTTCCACATTTTAGGGACACCCACCCTTACCCAACTCATAAGGCTCAAGATGCAATCCTGTTAATTTAAACACCCACACGTACCCAATTCTTAGGGCTCAGGGTGTAACTTCCTGCAGATGTGCAGGATCTTTTGCCACTGAAAGTCTTACACTGTAATATCCTTATTTTCTATTTACTGACAATTACCAAGCAAGCAGAATGCACATGCTAAGCAAACAATGTCATGCTCACTAACCCTGATAAAGGCAGGCAAACTTCCCCTGTTAGCTAGGCAAGGGCAGTCTCTCTGGATCTTAGTTGTTGCACAGTCATGCAGAGGAGTTCTGGCAGCTGTGATCTTAGGCTGTGTCTTGAAGGTGAGTTCAAGGTCCTTCCTCCTCTTTCTTGCTGTTCCTGTCTTCCTTTCCCCTTTCTAGGGATGTTAAATGTCGGTTAATTGAATAGTCGATTAACCTCATGAATTCTTATCGATTACTCGACTCTTCTATAGTCCCCAGCGGAGGAGGTGGCACCCAATGCTCTCCAGCCCCACTCCCAAAGAGCCCCCATCACTTCATGCTGCTGCGTCTGTATTGGGAGGCAAGTTGAGCTCCCAGAGCCAGCGCGAGCCAGAACTGAGCCAGGCTGCCTGGATCCCAAAACGCTTTAAATGCAGAGTCACAGCGGGGGTAGGTCCCGGACCTAGTCCAAGCCAGGACCTAGCCAGCCTGCTGGCCAGCCTTCTAAAAAACTTACTGGCAGGGGGAGAGGGCAATGTGTAGTCTATAATATTAACCTATAAGCTTTTGCTTATCAGTTAGTTAATCAGCTACACTATTACATCCCTACCCCTTTCCTTCCTCTTTTCGTTTCCCTGCTGGTCTCCTTCTCGGAATCCAGTTTATATAGTGAAACTTGAGTCCTGCTTAGCTATTCCTTAACAAATTATTTTAGTATATTTTACTAGCCAATCAGAACATACTGTAACAGAATTACCTGACTAATAATACCCCACCACCTTAGCTGATTTACACCTAGCAAAATTAATTATCAGCAGACAGAGATCATACAAACAATAGGAAAGTGAGGACCGTAATCACAGAATTAGGATTCCACAAGCTCAACTATTAATAAATAGTTTCTTGCCAGGCGAAATGCTGTTAAACTAAGTTTTTTTTTAACCCAACTTGATATCTATTTCTTTTTCTGGTCACAGTGGGTGCCATTACGACAGGCTCTCCTTCTCACATAGTGTGACACTATTTTAATGCAATTTAGATAGAATGGGAGTATGTGACTCCAAGCTTTACAGCTAATGGCTGCTGTTCTTCAATCTGGCTGCAGAGGAAGGCTTTAGGCCTTTCAATATGGCTTCAGAAAAGCCATATTGTTACATGGGGGCCTGCTCTGGTCAGGCCCAGCCCTCCAGTTACCAGCATGCTTATCTGGAAACCAGTTAAGGATAATGGTAACTGAGTAACCTTTTACATCCCTACTTCCTAAACATGCACGTGTAGTCACCTTGGCCAGTAACACTTCTTCCTGGCTTAGTGTGGTAGGGCATGCCAGAGTGCATTGCTCCATGGTGTCCTGGTGCTTCTCTCTCGATGTACATTTCCCATGAACACTCCCTTGTAGAGACACTACAGGAAAGCTGCCCAGATTTTCTAAGAGACTGTATGCACACAAACATCAGTAGGCAGGGTGGTAGGCACGCATACACACACATGTGACTGTGTTGTGAAAAGAGAAGCTGTATGGGCACAGCTCAGCTTTGTTTATTGTAGCTGATTCAAATCAAAATGTCACGAATGGAGTACAAAGCATACTTACAGCTGCTGAGAAGACAAGCTTTAAAGGAAAAGTATAAAAATCTGTTAGAATTAATACTAAAATTATGATCATAAAAGATACTGTCAAAGCCACTACACAAGATTGTGGAGAGAAATTTATGGCCAGGCATTTTTATAGATAGAGAAATGACAAAAAGAGCAATAAAGGAAGAAGATGGTGGACACAAACCTAAAGTTGCTAGGCTTGTTGATCAGTGCCAGTTTCCTGTCCAGAAAATATATATTTTGAGGTGAACAGGAAATTCTGATCACTGTAACCAACAGAGCTGCCTTTCCTATAATCAGGAATGATGCATTCAGTGAACTGTGCTCGTCACATGACAAATGGAAAGCTTAGCAAAACTAAAAAGCCATTGTACAAGCGTGGACTGATGGACAGATCTGCTGCCCTAATCTGTGATAAACAATTCAGAGCTGTTACCAGCAAGCAGCGTTTGTGGTCAGGAAAAAAAATAAATGCTACAAGCTTGTTGTTCATGAAAAACAAAAGCCACAATTAGACTCCTTGGTAACCATCTGCTACTTAAATATTAAGTTGTAACACTTTAAATAGAATATAAAAGGAATAGGAAATGTAATATCACATGAAAAGTGGAAGCAAAGGTAAGCTACTTATCAATAGTTTATTGAAATGAATGTCATGAATCCAAGTAATACTGTAGGACGTACACTGGTTTAAGAAATTAACACATTTACTTCCTCATCTCAGTACAAGCTAACTTGCCTTAAACCTTCAAAGCATCAGCAATGTCCATAAGAACTGTGACATTAACAAGGAATATATGGCATGGGGGACATCTTAACAGACAGAGCATCATTTGAGCTGACGTCCATCCCCTTAAATTCTACAACCGGAGCTCTAACCCTGTGGGCAGAGAGCAAAAGAAGTTCCTGTTCCAATCACACTCAGCAGAAAGGAGAGCAGCAGAGATCCTTGTGAGGTAATAAAGAATTAACTCATTTAAATCACTCCAGAAGTAGCACAAATGGTACTGGGACGTGGGATCAGAGAGACAACGTGGCTGGATTTTAGATCATGAGAGGAAAAATTTTAAGACTCCTGATTTATAGTTTGAAATTACATCATAAAAGCAACAAGCCGGCTTCATTTAGTGCAAGCTTTATTGTAACCCAGGGGTGGGAAACCTCAAGCCTGGGGGCTGGACATGGCCCTGCTCTTGCCTAGATCCAGCCCCCAAGGCTCAGGGCCCCTCCAGCCCACTGCTACCCCACCTCGAGGCTGGAGCACACAAAATCTACTAGGTTGAGACCCCCTACTCTCTGGTATGGGAGAGGAAGTGTCTTTCTCCTTCTCAGTTGGGGGCCACATCAATGAGGGTTGGGATTTTTTTGTTTGTTTTTGTTTTTCACTTGTTTGCAGCCCCCAACTGATTTTTCTGTGGATCAGTGGCCCTCGATCCAAAAAAGGTTCCCCACCCCTGCTGTAACCTGACAAACCAAACCATAATAATACAAAAAGCCCAGGTCTTTGGTATATTAATTTAAACTAAAGGTTAATATATCCAGAGTTCATACAAGATATTTGTATTCCTATCAACTAGAAATACCACAGGTTACTGAAGTAGTTGTCACTAATGAAGCATAGCCACGGAGGTAAAAGTTTGGTGTTAATAAAAAAGTGCACACAGTCTCCAGATGCACTGGAATGGATGCATTCCCTGGACTGAGTGACTGTTTTAACTTGCAATACTGAACTCAGAAAAAGTCTGATTCAATTTTAACTGAAGTTAGACTGTATTTGCTAAGCTTGGAGGACTGGTAAGGGAGATGGCTACATTGCTGTTCTGCTTTCTAAATGCCTTGGAACTGAGGCTGTGTCAACACTGCAAGGTTTTTGTACAAGAAGCTTTTTGTGGAAGAGATCTTCCACAAAAACTTCTTACGCAAAAGCACATCCACACCTCAAAAGCACATTGCAAAAGCATGTACGCTCTTGCACAAGAAAGTGCACCTGTGCTTTTTGTGATAGGCTCTTTTTGCACAAGAAACCCCTGTTGAGCGTCCACACACCTTTTTGTGCAAGAACTCTGGCGCAAAAAGGAGTTATTCCTAGTAGAAAGAGGTATACCTAAACTGCAAAAAGTCCTCTGTTCTGCCATTTTACTGTAAATTTTCTTGCACAAAACCGCATTTGAGGTGTGGACAGTCTGCGGGTTTTTGCACAAAAAGTGGCAAGTTTTGTGCAAAAACCCTGTAGTGTAGACATAGCCTGGGTGTTTAATACAAGTTAACCATCTTAAAGAAATACAAACAATTCCATAATATACACTAAAGTGCACTGGAGAAACGTTCACAACTCATTTCTTTGAGCCAGTCTGCTCTTGAACTCCTATTTTACATAAAATACATTCTGTTGGTTTTTTTTCCTAAGAGTTAATTTCACTCATTAAATACTACTTGTGTATACCTGTAGGTCACAATGCCAGTTCAATTTATCTTTAGAACAGATTTCAAGGAAGTGTTTATTTTTATTGTAAGAATCAAAACATGGGGAGCTGGTAGAAAGTTTTATCAACAATCTTGGGTATATTTAAAAACATGGAAATCTCATTTACACTGATGAATGCTAGTGAACCTTAGAGAAGGAAATCTAGACAATTCCCTTCCTTTCATCTTGGTTAAGTCATCCCACTAATCATACTCCTGAAGTAGTCCAGTGTTTAGAGGAACAATTTTTAAGTATTCTCATTGTGGTGATTTGAATGCAAAACAAACTATTTTAAATTTTGAAAACAAATAGTTGGCTAGTCTTTTGATGTAGCCATTGGTTAATGTTATTTTATGATGGCGATTATTTCCAGATCTAAAGTATGCTGGATTCTACATTATAATGTTTGCAAGAACCTGAAGGGGAAAGGGATTTTGTTGGTTTCAACAATGAAGCTGCACTTGTATTTTCCCTCAAAAGTCCAACAAGGGCACCCACTGGCTCCCCCACTGTTTACTCTCTGTGTGGGGTCCTGCATCTGTGTCCTTTCTGACTGGTTATGTCCAGGCTATCTTCACAACGTTATTCCTAGCGCAGACCAGTTGCCCAAGGACCAATGCTTGATTTCAACTTCAGATACACTTTCCAGGTGTCATTACTACAATTATAAATACCATACAATTGTGTCCATGCAAGCATCTTTTATTAAGGTAAAAAGCATTCCAGAGAAAACACTGAACAATAAGAGAAACTACATGCATGCTAACAAGCTCACAAGAGTTAACCCCAGTCCTAACATGGATTCTGGCAGGAGGAATCCTTCAAATCCCCACCCAAGGAGGATTCTTTGTGGTTAAAAGTTCATCACCACTTTACCCAGAACAAGCACAGAGTCTTATGGGACCTCAGTTGGCCAAGTTCTTTCAATCCTTCCCAAAGGGTTGGGGTCCTCTGTGCATCAGGGGTCATGATCAGGAAGAAGCCCTATGTCCATTTAAAACGCCCCCCTTTCTTTGTTTAAAATTGCATTCTTCAGAGACAAAAAGTATGTTCAAACCTTTTCCATGGGGGTGGCTTCTCCAGAGATTTCGCAGCCTAAATGATTTTGCTTGATTTTGCCCTTGCCCCTCC